TATACACATACACACACACACCACACACACACACACACACCACATATACACCACACACACACACACACACACACACACCACATATACACCCCCCACATATATACCACACACACACACACCACACACACATATATACACACACCACACCACACTACACTACACCCACACACCACATATACACCACACACACACACACACACCACATATACACCACACACACACATACCACATATACACCACACACACACACACACCACATACACCACACACACCATACATACACACCAAACACATACACACACCACATACAACACACACCACATACACCACACACACCATACATACACACCAAACACATACACACACCACATACAACACACACCACATACACAACACACACACACAACACACACTACACCACATATACACCACACACCAAACACACACACACACACACACACCCCAAGCACATACACAGACCACAAACACCACTCATCATATATACAACACACACACACACACACACACACACACACACACACACACACCCCTTGGTCTAGCATTGCTGTGCGGTGGCTTTAGTCAACTGGGGGGTGTGGAGGTAGCTGTAGGAGAGCAGAAGAGGAAGTCACCCCACTTTCTGCCATTCCACACCTTTCAGCTTTCGGGTCAAGGACCTCACTCAGGAGCCAACTCCAAATCGTCCTCCTCGGCTGGCTGGAGAGCGGCAGCCTCCTAATCCAGAGACCTGAAGAGGTCCTTGCACCTGACTGCTGCTCACTAGGCATCCCCCGGGGACCGCCCAGCGCTCACAGCTACTCCGGCTGCTGGGAAGCAGGGAGAAGGGCTGTCCGTGCGGATGTGGGTGGTGGCCATTACCTAGAACAGTGAGGTAAGCCTTGGCCAGGTCTTGGTCCAGCTCGGTGCTGGCCACGCACGTGTAACTGCCTTGGTCCCGCTCTGCCACGCCGAAGATGGTCAGGGAGTCCTCCTCCTTCTTCATCCTGCAAGGCGCCAGGCTGAGGTTGGCAGGAGGCTGGCAGGAGGGCGGCTCCCACACTGCGCATAGCTGGTACTTTCTTCCCACAAGGGGACGGTGAAAAGGAAGATAAAGGAGGTGGCAGGGCCAGGTGGGAGCCATGGCTCCCTTGAGGGAAGAGAGAGTGGATGGGATGCTCCTCAGCATCCACACTGTCCCCATCGGTGAGCCTTTCTTGTGCTGCACACATTTCCCAGGTTAAGGTACCATCACCCTGACACACCCAAGACAGGCTGGTGTGGCTTCTCTTCCCCTACATGTGTTCTGTCCTATGTCCCAGTCCTGGTGCTCTGTCCCTGGGCTGCTCTGACCTGTTTCCACCAGAGGGAGGGGCATCCCAGAGCAATACAAGATCGCAGTCGAACTTTCGGTGCCAGTGGGTGCTGGACGCCCGTGCACGCACACAGGCGGGGTGCAGAGTGGGGGGGCACGAAGCTGGGTGAGAGTGGGAATGGATGGTGCCTTACTGCCGAGAAGGGGTACAGCAAGGAGAGCCCCAGGAAGGGAGGTAGGGATCAGCGGTTCTCCATGCGGACTGCACCTTAAAAAAACACCCAGGGGACCTTTCAATACGATCAGCACCCGAGTCCTACCCATACACAAAGTCCAAACTGGTGTGGGAGGTGCAGATGGGGTACCGTCAAAGCACCCAGAAGAGCTAGGAGCTGAGACCCATCAGGCATTGCACTGGATGTGGTAGCTAGGGCCAGACCTGCCCTCTACTGGCGAGAAGGGGCACCACACGCAGAGCTGAAGGGACCGGAGCATGGAATGCAGGAGAGAGACAGACATAGGGCAGGGAGAAAAGAAAATGAGATATAAAGGAAGGGAGGAAGAAAAGGAAGAGAAGGGGTGAGGAGACGAGAAGGTGGGAGAGAAGAGGTGAAGGAGAGCGCAAAAGGTAGATAAGAGAGAGGAAGCGTGGTTCCTGGGACTGCCCCCGAGGAAAGGGTCGCCAAGGCGGTCACCCCTTCTGGTGACAGAGCAAGCAAGAGCGGACGCCCTCCTAAACGTGTGCCAGGAGTCGGGACGGAGAGCAGAAACCTGTTTCCAATGTAGAGTGGCTCATCGTCCTTCAGCCAGGAGACCGTGAGCTTCAGGGAGGGGTCATGCTTCACGCGACACTCCAGCTGCACCGTGGTGCCCCTCTTGACCACCTGGTCCTCAGGCATCCTGAAGATCCTGGTGGGGTCTGGGAAGACAATTGGGATGCTGGCACGGACCCCTCCTCTGCCCACCGGCCCCGAGGTGGCCATGCAGTGCGACATGCCTGACCCTGAGGTGTCAAACACAGTGTGTGTGTGTGTGTGTGGTGGGGGGGGCAGGGGAGGTAATCAAAATCCCCAAATAGCCCTCTGGCTCAGAAATCCGTGGTGAGGGGAAGAGGTGAGCTTCCAGAGGAGGCTGAGAAGCGGCTTGGGTGTTCCCACACTTCAGTCAGCTGGAGTCACTGACAGGACATGTGTGGCGCCCACCAGACCTGAGGCAGGGGCATTTCCTACTGTACCTACACCTGTGGATACCTGTGAGCACAGCTTCCCTGTCCCACCTGAACTCTCACCCGTGGACGCCCTTGCTTACCTTTGACCTCTAGGCGGACTTGGTTTTCAGCTTTGCCCAGGATGTTGGTGGCCACACAGGTGTAGATGCCTTGGTCCTCTTTGCGGATCATCTTGATTTCCAGACTGCCGTTCTCGTAGACGTGGTAGTTACCACCGTCCAGGTTGCTTCCTTGCCCATTCTTAAACCTCACAACAGAGCAGCGAACACAGCATACTGAGAAAGGACTGGCCCCAGGGAGCTAGGAAGCAGCAGAGTCCACGGTGGGGGGGCGGGCTGGGAGGCTTGAGGCGGACACATGGAGTCCTGAGTGCTTGCAGGCTCCGCCTGTAGCCACTAGCTGGCTCTGGAGAGACTCAGCTCCTCTCTGAACAATATGGGGGGGGGGGGGGGGGGTCCACCCAGATGGTCTAAAGATCCCTACAGGGCAGACGGGAGCAAAGAGACAGATGACTCCCGCTGGGCAGATCTGGTCTCCCGGGACTTACCATCGGAGTGTTGGGATGGGAGACCCGAAGAATGGACAGTCCAGCCATGTCCGATTGTAAAGGATCACCCTGATGAGCTGGTTCCGGGGAGACAGCATCCGAGGGGGCACGTCTGAAACCGCAGAGGGCCAATTCGCCAAGATGGGTGGGGAGCACAACCCTTCCCCTCCGTCCCCGGTGTCACCACAATATGCTTCCCCCCTTACAGCGGCTTTCCAGACGCCTAGATACCCGGATCCACCCTGCCTAGATACCCGGATCCACCCCTTTCTTTTACAAGGCTCGTCTAAGGGAAACTGCCCAACCTACAGCCCCTGGGGTTCAGGTGTCCCAGGATCATTACAAATGCTGCCCGACACATTTGTAGACCACAATCATGTTACAAAGGATAGGACACCCTTGTGAGGAGGGAGTTTATCCATCTGCCTGTCCTCCATCTGCCTCACATCCAAACTAGCTTTTGGTTGTTGTTGTTGTTTTGTTTTCTGAGACAGGGTTTCTCTGTGTAGCTTTGGAGCCTTTCCTGGCTGATCCTCCACAGCTCTGAGACATCTTGTATCTACCGGTTCCCACTGCCCTCTCCTTGCTCAAGAAGCACAGCAACCGCGCTCGGAAGCACTTCCTGCCCAACTTCTCTGACGGAATGAGCCCTGTGATCATCTGGATTGGTGGAGTGCAAATGCTCCATTCTCCCCACAAACCCCACCTTCATGCTCCACAGGTCTCCACGCCTGCCCGGCATGCCTAGGCTCCAGAGAGGAAAATGTACCTCACGGCATCACTATACCCCAAGAAGACCCCCACTGCCAGTGGGCAGAGACCGCATGCGAGTATGCTCACCCAACACACTGACGAAGGCATTGGCCAGCAGGTAGCCGTGTTCGTTGGATGTGTTGCACTGGTACACTGCCCTGCTGCTGATCTGAGTGTCCCGGAAGATGATGGTGTCTCCAGCCACCTCACGGTTGGGGTTGGGTGGTGCCGCTACAGGTGAAAAAAAAGAAGTTTCCCATAAGAAATGGAGCCAGGCAGAGCGAGAGGCGTGCAGGGCTCTGGACAGGGTCCCACATATGCTGAGGGTTCTGTGGAAGAGGCGGCTGGGTGGACCCAGGCAGACCCGGCTTCCAGATTCAGCACTGCCGAACCATGTGACCTGGGCCCTCTGGGAGTTCGTTTCTCCATCCATCATCTGGATGGAATCTGAATCTTTGCTTGATTCAAGCAACAGCTGGGCAGCTGCGGTCGAAGATATGAGCTATGGAAAACTAGCTTTGGAAATAGGAATCTAACTACCCCTCCAGTCACCATTGTTCACACCGTTTGCTTCAGATCCTGGTCTGTGGGACAACCCATCACCTCATGGAGTCTTGTGGCAGTATCCTGAGGCTTTTCATACAGGTATATAGTGAGTAGTGGAAGGCCCAGAAATCCTGCTGTTGTTTTCACTCGATTTATTTAATTAGTTTTTTGAGACAAGGTCTTGTTATGTAGTTCTTGCTGACCTTGAACTTACCATGCAGCCCAGACTACCCTTAAACTCATGGCAATCCTCCTGCCCTAGCCTCCCAATACTTGGGATTACAGACATGAGTAAGTCACTGTGCCAGACATTCATTCATTATGATTTTAATCCAATGTACATGGACAAGAATACAGCAACATCCGAAGAGCCCAAACCCGCCATCTTCCCATCCTCTGGGCAGAAACTCTCTCACCAAAAAGCTGCCCACCAGCCAGAGCTTCATGCAAACTGAGTCTTCGTGCTTGTTTAAAAAAAAAAAAAAAGGTCTTCCTAAGAAAAGTAGCTGCCGGGCGGTGGTGGCGCACACCTTTAATCCCAGCACTTGGGAGGCAGAGGCAGGTGGATCTTTGTGAGTTCAAGGCCAGCCTGGTCTACAGCATGAGATCCAGTGCAAAGCTACACAGAGAAACTCTGTCTCGGAAAAAAAAAAAAGAAAGAGAGAAAGAAAGAAAAAAGAAAAAGAAAAGAAAAGTAGCCTACACAGAGGGGCCCTTCTTGCCTATAGTTCTCCTGGTGTTGCCAGCTCTCAGGAGCTGTGGTTCTGCCCATGTGTCACTCTGGGACTTGGGACACATCAAGAAACACATCCCTTCTGGGGGAGCATCATTCCTATCCTCCCCATGAGAAGGAAGAATGAGGGGAAGGAAAAGGAGGGGCCATAAAACAAAAACTTCCTCAAAGTGTAAACAACAGTCACTATGTACATGTATGTACTTGTATGGTTTGTAACCACTGGAAATATCTGGACTTGGGAGCAAATGCTTTGGCTCGCTGAGGCTGTGAATTCACTGGGATTTCTTAGACCTTAAAAAAAAAAAAAAAAAGGACTCAGGCCCTACGGCGCCACTCAACAGATAGAGAATCAGGGGACTCAGCAGAAGGCAAAATAAGGCACGGTCCATGTCCTAGTTATCTACCCTGGGATCTACTCAGCAAAAAGGCACCTGGGAGGTGGCACCACCAATCTGAACACCCCCTAACCTGAACAGTTTCATAAACCCAATTTCCCCGCCAGTCACCTCTCCTTGGCACCTCTTGCAGAGGCTGACAGATGACCTCAGGGCCGAGGATCAGCGTCTACAGCACAGTGCTACAAGGTGGTGCCACCACTGCCTGCTTCCTCCAAAGCCTACGAGGTCAGAAGACTGCGGCCAGAGGGCTGTGGCTACGTCTCTGCTCCTGGCAGGGTAATGAGTCTCTGCGGATAGCTGCAGATTCCGTCTTAGCAGGTGCAAGCCCTCTGCAGCCCAATGCAGTCCGCAGCTCCCCGCCTCTGGTGGCCTCCTGCGATCCAGAGCCCAGTCTCCTCACCCACCGTGTTTGAAGGGGCACAGACATGGCACCTAGCAAGCTGCCTCCCTGTCTCCGCTTCTCCACCTGCTCCTTTTCCTTTCCTGTTTTAAAATGATTTTTCTACTTAGCAAAGGAAATCATGGGACGATATTCTCATGTATACACACCAATAAACTTTGATCAGACTCTCCCCCAGCTGTCCTCCCAGCCTCTTGTGCTCCTGCTCCTCTTGGTTTCCTCCCCACAGCCTCCGTTCTGCTTTCACATCACATATACTTGTGTTTAGTTACTCAGCTATGTGCGATCTTTGTCTTCCCCCCTCCTCCTATTTCCCTCTCGTACCTCCCCTCCCTTCCTTTTAAATCACTTTCACAGACTTCTACTTTTGTGTCCTTGATATGTGTGTGTGTGTGTGTGTGTGTGTGTGTGTGTATGCGTATTCATATGCAAGCCCAGATTCCACACACGAGAAAACACGGCACCGCGATCTCAGCATGGCTTATTTCACTTAACATGATGCGAACGGCTGTTCTTCTCTGTGTCAGAACAAAACACCCTTGTGTCTAGGCACCGTGTTAGTCTCTATCTGTTCATCTGTGGAGGGGCAAGGAGGCCACTTCTGTCTTTTGGCTGTTGTGAACAGTGCAGCAAAGGCATGAATCTGCAAGCATCTCTGTGGTGTGCTGACTTAGATTCCTCTGAGTATACGTGTGATCAGGAATGGTATAGCTTGTTTTGTTGATAATTGATAATTTTTTTCATCTATGTTTATTAGGGAAATCGGTCTCCCTCTGTATATTTTTTCTTGTTGAGGAAAAGTCTCATTCAATAGCCCAGGATAGCCTAGAATTCACCAAGTAGTCCAGGCTAGCCTTAAAACACAGCCAATCCTCCTGTCTCAGGTTCTTGAGTAATCGATCATGCCCAGCTTTATAGTTCGTGTGTATGTGTGAGTGTGTGAGTGTGTGAGTGTGTGAGTGTGTGTGTGTGTGTGTGTGTGTGTGTGTGTGTGTGCGTCCCCTTCAAGTTTGATATCAGAGTAATGCTGGCTTCATAGAGCGAGTCTGGTAGTGTTCCTTCCTTTTTCACTCCATGAACAGTTTGAGGAGCACTGGTATTAGTCCTTCCCTAAAGGTCTGGTAGATTCAGCCGTAAATCTTGCCTGGTCCAGAGTTTCAAACTTGTTGCTTCTTTGGGATCTGTTTAAGTTGCTTATACATTCTTGCTTTAATTTAGGTAGGTCATATGCATCTAGGCCCATTTCTTCTAGATTTTTCAAATCATATATGTTTTTCTAAACCATTTCCTAAGTATCCTCTAGATCTCATTGAAACCTGTGGTAATGTCCCCCTTTTAGCTCTAATTTTATTAATTTTGGTATCCTCTCTTCCTTTTGGTTCATTTGGATAAAAATTTGTCTATCTCATTTATTTTTTCCAAAGAACCAACTCTTTGTTTCACTGAGTTTCTTCCCTGATTTTTATTACTTCCATCTACCACTTTGGGGTTTGGATTGTTCTGTTTCCCTTGAGACCTTGAAGTTCATCCTTGTGTGATTTAGGTGAGGTCTTTCGGTATAAGAAGTCATAGCTATGAATGTTCCTCTTAGATTGGCCTTTCTTATATCTCCAAGATTCTGAGAAGTTGTGCTTTTGTTTTTATTTGATTCTCAGAATTTAAAATTTTTTCCCCCCAGATTTCTTTAATGACCCACTGCTCATTCAAGAGTGCATTTGTGAGCCCCTGTGGGTTTTCTCCTTATTGATTTCTAGCCATATGTCACTGCACTCGGAAAAGATACAAGAAGCTGTTTCAATTATTTTATATTGTTATAACTTTCTTATGGCATCACATGTGATTTACTTTGGTGAAAATTTCATGGATTGCAGAGATGAATGTGTACTTTGCAGCTGTTGAGTGGAATGTTCTGTAAATGGCTGCCAAGTCCATTTGATCTTGGGTATGGATCAACTCTGAAGTTTCTTTACTGACTTTAAGTCTGGATGGCCTGCCTACCTATTGATGAGATGGGATATTATGGTCGCCCACCACTGTATCAGGAACCAGCTGCTGCTTTATGCTCAGAGTGCTTGTTCTATGAAATTGGAAGCCCCAGCGTTCAATACATATATATTTACAATCATTCTCTCTTCTTGATGGACTGTTCCCTTTACTAGTATGTAGCGGCATCCTTGATCTTTCCTGACCAATTTTGACGTTCAGTGTACTTTATCAGCTTTGGGAATAGCTACACCAGCTTGTTTTCAACTTCTGTTTGGCAAATTCCTGTCCTTCACTTTCACCCTAAGTGTGTCTTTGTCAGTGAGCTGTGGTTTTTTTTTAATTGATGAATTGAGTTGCATTTAGTATTATTAATGAGATGTTTGATAACTCCTGAAATTTGTTGGTTATTTTTCTGGCTAGGGAATTATTGTTTGCTTTTTTTTCATTCGTATTAAGAGTTTGCTAGTTTACTGTGTTGGACATGATGGATCTTTTCCGAGTTTTCCTTATTCATCTATTCTGTATGAGAAAGTTACATTCTTTTCTGAGCTCTCTTGATTGAGACTTCATTCTTCGTGTTGAGGATTTCTTTGAGCATTTCTGCAGAGTAGGGTGGCGGTCAAGAATTGCTTTAATTTGTGCTTGTCTTGAAATGTCCTTATTTTTTCATGAATTTGTTTTAATACCCTTCTTACATTTATTTAATGTGTGTGTGGGAGTATGCATGGGCCATGCATAGATCTGGAGGTCAGAGGAAAACTTGTAGGAATTGGTGCTATTCTTCTACCATGTGAAATCAAATTCAGGTTGTCAGACTGAACCATATTACCAGTTCCTCTCCATGAATTTGAAAAGATAATTTGATGTACACAGCAATTTCGGTTGACAGTTAATTTACTTTCAATGATGGAAGCAGACTAACCTATGCTTTCCTAGTCATTTTAAGGGTTTGTATTGAAGTCTGAACTTATTCTGATGCGTTTGTGAGTTGATATTTTTCTCTTACAGCTTTTTAATTTTATTGCTATAATCTCATTGACTGGAGTCTCCATACCTTTGGTTTTTATCTCAGCTCTTTCTACTGCATCTTGGACTCTCAGGTTTATCTCTTGACTGTATCTCAGGGTTTCAGGAAGTTGTTGCCATGCTATTCCTTTTTAATTTTAGGATGAAGATTTCCTTGACATTTCCTTCTGTTCCTGATAGTTTTCCTTCTTCTTGGTGTAGTCTGTTGACCGTTTCCACTGTGTTATTTTACTTGATTTGCTGAGTTTTTCATTTCAACATTTCTATTTCATTAAAAAAAACCTCTCGCTCTCCTCGATCTTCCTTTTTTTGCTGACTTTGCTGTGTTGTTCTGACTTCCTCCTCTATATTGCTGGCTTTCGTCTGTGATCCTGAGCTGCCTTCCTCACGCCATCCAGCTGCTTGTTTCAATCTTCTCTGAGGCCACTGATCACTTTACCTGTAAACATTTGAATTTTTTATCTGGCACTTCCTAATTTCATGGCCTTGAGTTCAGTAGCGAGGAATCATGATCCTTTGCGGGAGTCCTGTTAGCATATTCTGCTTTTCATGTTTCTTGTGGGTCTGAGCTGTGACTTACGTATCTGTCGGCTTTGATAGCTCCTCCGGTTTCATTTGCCCATCTTCTTATTGAGATTTTTTTTGTTTGTTTTAGTTTTTCAAGACAGGATTTTTCTTTGCAACCATGGCTGTCCTGGAACTCACTCTGTAGACCAGGCTGGCCTCAGACTCAGAGATCCACCTATCTCTGCCTCTCAAGTGCTGGGATCAAAGGTGTGCGCCACCACCACCCTGGTCTTATTGAGCTTTTAAGGGGTCAATTCCCAGTACCATTCAGTAAATGAATGAGGTAAAGAAAGGGAAAATACGAGAAAGCAAGGTTAGATCGAGGAAAATAAAAAGAAAAGGAGCGTAGTAGAATGCTGGGAAGGGGATGAGGAAAGAAAAAGAGACTAAATAAAGATCACTAATGAAAAAGTCTGAAAAGAAAATGAGACAGAGGATTGGGGATTTAGTTCAGTGGTAGAGCGCTTGCCTAGCAAGTGCAAGGCCCTGGGTTTGGTCCTCAGCTCTGGAAAAAAAAGAAAAGAAAATGAGACAGATGTAAGAAAGGGAATAAAACGTAACATAAAAGACTTTGTTTGGGGCTGAGGAGATTGCTTGACTAGTAAATTGCTTGCTTTGATCTCAGAGTACATGTAAAAAAGCCAGACACAGTGATGCATGTTCATAATCCCAGCACTGTGGAGGCGGAGACGGGTGCGTCTCTGAGGCTCCCTGGCTGGCCTGCCTACTCTGCTCGGCAAATTCTAGGCCAATGAAAGACCTTGTCTCAAAAAGCAAAATGATGGCTCCTGATGAAGAACACTCAAAGTTGTCCTCTGGCTTTTACCTTCACAGGTGTGAACCTGTGAACACACACACACACACACACACACACACACAGCCTTTATTTGAAAACTAAGTTAAAGTCTAGGAAAGGTATAACAAAAAAGGAACAGGGGAAACACAAGAGGCTAATAAAAAGAAAATACCAGCAACAAAAAAATGCATAAATGATAAATGCAAGTAAATGTAAGAAGAATAGGAATTAAAACATAGAAGCTTAAAAAATAAACCGAAGTAAAAAAATGGCTTAAAGTGAAGACAAAGGAAAGAGAGAGAGAGAAAGGAAGGAAGGAAGGTAGATAGGTAGGTAAAAAGAAAGAAAGAGAGAGAGAGAGAGAGAGAGAGAGAGAGAGAGAGAAAGAAAGAAAGAAAGAAAGAAAGAAAGAAAGAAAGAAAGAAAGAAAGAAAGAAAGAAAGAAAGAAAGAGAGAGAAATACAGAGGGCCAAAAAGAGTTAGAGTAATTTCTCCCTGGGCCTTTGAAAGCTGAAATCCGCCGGATAGATTGGGGCTGGGAACCTGGTCTTCCCTGTGATTTGTATTGATGCTGAGCTTGTTGTAGGAGAAGAATTACGTCTGCCGGCGTGGTCTTCACTTCAGTAGCTCCCTTCTCTGCAAACCAGGGACCTCTGGTGACCAGGGTTTGTGGTTTGTGGGCGGGTTCTTTCACTCCTCCCGACACCACAGTTATGTACCCTGGGATGGGAAATGTTCCGGCTGGATGTATCTCCGCAGCACACTGAGTGGGGGACCCAGACATGGCACTGAGCTCTCTTTCCACACCTCCCGGCCTCAGCCTCCCTGCTGTGGTCACGGCCGGGAAGGTCTAGTGGTTGGATGGACCAGATGGGCGGCTGCAGAGCTCGGTCCACCCACTGACCACAGGTTCGGGACGTTCAAACTTCAGTTATTCTCAGCTGATAAGGTCGACTGCCAGTCACTAAGGGCGAGACTACCGTGCCCTGTACACACTTCGAGACCTGGGCTGCGCTGCCTGCCGCCTGTGCTCTGCATCTGGTCAGCATCGGATGCTCCTGTGTCTCATTCACACCTCTTTCCCTCGACTTTTCTCCTTAGCTGCATCACATCGAGGCAGCTTCCTTCTGCCACCGCCGCCGCCCGAGTCTCCACACTACTGGTTGATATCCTTGACTACCGTTCCCCAACTCCTTGAAGAAGGAAATCACTAGGTATTTCAAAAGTAAAACAACTGGACAGAATATGATGTGAAAACCAGACCAAGGTCATCAGCTTAAAGGGGTCCTGGGGACCCCCTATTCAATCCATCTGGACAGGATCAAAATTTCCCCAAAACATTCAAGGGGAAGTTCTTCCCCATGTTCAGCTACAGTCTTTCACATTGTCACATAACCCTGCCAGTTAGTTATAGTTGAAGATTAGTTAGTTATAGTTGAAGATTAGTTAGTTATAGTTGAAGATTAGTTAGTTATAGTTGAAGATTAGTTAGAATAGAAAGTGAATTAGGTACATTTTGGACTTACCAAAATAGGATAGATAATGGAATTATTTTCTCTGAATTTGTCAAATACAAATGGACTAGACATTTTTTAGGTATTTATTGCTTGTATATATGGTATATAGTTATTGTACTTTTGTATATAGTTTTTCTTATATTAGTTATAACCTTTTTTCTTTTTATTAAAATAGAAAAGGAGAAATATGGTGATATTTTATTTGTACTGAAATGTGATTTTATTTGTATGTTAATAAATAAAGTTGCCTAGGGGTCAGAGCTAATAGCAAGCCATAGCAGAAGTCTGGCAGTGGTAGCACACACCCTTAATCCTGATCACATGACAGGCAGAGCTAGGCGGATCTCTGTGTGTTCAAGGATACAGCCAGCATGGAGACACACACCTTTAATCTCAATACCAACCATAGAAGACCTGGAGGTCTGTATAGACAGGCAGTGATGAGGAGGTAACGTGGTTGGGTTTACAACCAATGAGAAGGCAGAACAGAAAGTCAATAAAAAGGACAAACACACAGGAAGTAGCTCTCTTGCAGAGAGGAAGGACAGCAGCGGCAGTGAGGGGTAAGAAAGGGTTTCCTAGCTCTTAACTACTGCTCTGACCTCTTGGGCTTTTAACTCTGAATTTGGCTCTGTGTTTCTTATTTAACAAGACAGTTACATCTACACCTGCCTTTTTTTTTTTTTTCCCCCCCGAGACAGGGTTTCTCTGTGTAGCTTTGCACCTTTCCTGGATCTCGCTCTGCAGACCAGGCTGACCTCAAACTCACAAAGATCTGCCTGCCTCTGCCTCCCAAGTGCTGGGATTAAAGGCATGCGCCACCACCACCCTTTTGTCCTTGTTAGAGAGGAAGACTCAGATCCATCATTGGTTAATGACAATAGATGGGCTTTTTATCTGCTAAGCCCTACTGACCACTCAGAGCCCAAACCTGAGATGCAGTGCAATGCCCAGACTCTAAATTGGGCTCTAGAGCTATTGGGCAGAAAGCAAAGATTAAGAAAACTACAAAGAAGCAGAAATCTCTAAACACAGGAACATAACCACAGGCTACTTATCTTCCTGTTCTCTCAGAAGAACAAGGAAGGCTTTCTCTACCTCTGAGATGCCTGCAGAGGAAGCTTCTGGAAGTAGCACCAATGAGCCATTCATTTTTTTCACTACAGGGACATCCAACCTACCAACAAAACCTCTGGAGGGTGGAGGGAACAAATGGAGTGGGACTCACATTGCAAAGGTTCCCCATTCACCATCCACTGGACAGTTGGCTTCGGGTTCCCATTGGCTCGGCATACCAGCCTCCCATCCTCACCAGGAGCCAGGATCAGGTTCTTGGGCTCATCCAGCCAGTATGGAGCAGCTGAAAGACAAGGCAGGCAGAGGTAGATGGCACAGGCTAGGCACGAGAAGCCAGGTGGGCTCCTGTGTGAGAGTAACCCCCAAGTCCCAGCCCCGATCTTTCACCCCCAGTCTGCAGGTAGCTGGTTAGCCGAGCCCATGGAACAGTCTGCTTGTTAGAATTCCCCAGCAGGCTTTTAAAACACAGGGATGCCAGGGTTCATCTAGATCTGCTGCATCTGAGCTGTCAAGGGACCGAGTGGCTGAAGCTCTGAGAGGTCATAGGTATTGACGGAGCCCTTGGTTGCACCCTTTAGAAGTCTGTTGTTATAAGAACAGAGGTCTAGGAAAGATCTGAACTTCTTTCTTTTAGGCACTGAACTTTAGTTAGAGCAGTTCTTAGCCGTTCACCCCTTCCATTATTTGGACAGTTTTGTGAACACATGGATTTTCCTGAGAAAAGAAATTTCTGGATTAAAGTCTCAAAAAAAAAATCTTGTTATTCACCAAACAGGATGAAAACCCACTTGTGTGTGTGTATAGTGCTGAAGGCAAGGTCATAAGATGAGCCAACCGTATGCCGGAAGTTCTTGTACTCAGCCCTCAGCCCTCAGCCCTCGACCTCCCAGTCTGCATGCAGACCTGGGCTGAGATGTGACTCACACAGCCCATCACATAGCCAGGACCCACAAGGACAGGCCTGAGCTCTCGTGTCGCAACCGCTCAGACGGTCTGTGTCTGCTTTGGGGGGCGGGGGGAGTGGCTTGAAAATGACTCCGTCCATGATGATTCCCATCCTTCAGAAGAAGCACAGTACCATGCATACAACACAGACAGCAGAGGCTAAGACAACACGTCACAGACGGGGATGCAGAATGAGAGAAGAGGCTCGGGGAGGGATGTCACTTGCAGAGAGAGCCTCAGCATACATGCCCGTGAGTGCATAGAGTCACACACCCGGGGGTGACACCGCCACGTTACTCTGGAAGTTCCCCACTCCCTCTGCCTCCTCGCCACAGAGGGAAGGCTGTCATATGTGCGTTCGGGGCTGGCAACATAATCATAATGAGAAATACACACAACGTACCCTTTACTCTCACCGAGATCGTGTGCCGGATGCTGCCCATCTTGTTGGAGGCCAGGCAGAAATACTCCCCCGAGTCCTCTTCAGAGACGTTGGTGATGCGCAGGGCCTTGTTAAAGTTCTCAAACTTGGTCTTGTCGGATGGGAGGTCCCCACCTTTCTTGTACCAGGCAATGTCTGGTGTTGGGCTGGTGAAGGGACCAAGCAGGACATAAAGGGCTCGTTACTGAATGTAGCCCTTGTCGTCTTAGAGAGCCTGACACTCAGATATCCTAAAAGTGGACTTGGGCCCAGGAGGGAGGTGCACACCCTCTAAAAGCTGGGCTTTCCTACACAGAGGAGGCTGCTTGGCCACAGGGACTCCACGGAAAGACAGAGCTAAGGTGCCACGGGATCAGCATGCCTAGCCTTTTCTCTTTTCCCAAAGCGGAGACAGCCACAGTGGGACGTGGATGACAGACACACAGCGTTCCGCTCACGGGGCTGCTTGCTTCCCTCTCCCTGCGCATTGGTGTGCCACCTCCAAATGTGTAGACTGATGCCCACCCATCCTCCAGGAGCAGGGCTAGAAGACGGTGCAGACTGTACGTACACCCCAGAGGCAATGCACTCCAGCAGCAGGTCCATGCCACGAAGTACCATCTGACTGCTTGAGGTGCCCTGGGGATACATGAAGCTAGGCGTCCTTTCGGCAACTCCTCGGGCTGAAACAAGACAGGACAAACTTCCCTGAGCCTCCTGCCCAGGTGTGCCCAAACTGTTGGGTTAGAGAGAAGTGTCATGCCCCACTCCTGGGTCCTTCCAGCCCACGCCGCCCCCAGGATCTGGGCATCTTTAAGAAATACATTTGGAAGCTTGGGGTCTCGGCCCCACCCAGCACATGTATGTAACCAGCTCCAGGTTCTGTTGAGAAGAGCCCGGAAAGCCTTCCCTTCATCTGAGGCAGTGAAGGGTTAGCAGGCAGTGAGAGGTCCATTCTCTGTCATCTGTGTTGGGAGAGAGGGGCCACTGAGGTAGCATTTCAGCACCAGTCTATCCTCCCCAGAGAGGGACATGGGAGAAAGAAAAGGCATAGACTGGGGACACGGGACAAGCAACCTGCTCTTTGGGACCCTGATAAGGAGCTGGGATGAAGCAACAAACCCCCAGGTACACAGTGGACATGCGGGAAGAATTATTAATGGCGTAGCAAAGACATGAAGAGACTGAATGAGGAGAGAAGACCGGACGGAGAGCTCTCCGGGGCCAAGCCCACTCTGCCTCCTAACTCTTGACTAACTGCACGAGAAATGGGGGTGGGTGTAGGTGGGAGGAACGGCAGCCGAGGTGGGGGAAGGGGACCAACAGATCAACTTGGCGGGAACAAGCCACGAGAGAGGTAGCAATCTTCCATATAGGTTTTGGAGGCTAAGTGGTCCACGCACTGATGCTGTCACCAGGCTGTTCCCCATGGAAGAAGGGGCCATGGCACTCAGGGTGCACCCACGGAGAACGGACCTCACCTTGTCTGAATTTTGCTTCTTTCCTATACTCTTTGCCTAACTCTAGAGAAATGGGTAAAAGGAAAAGCAAGTTGTCCAACTGGAAACCCCGAGTCGAAAGGAAAGCTGGAGGAGGCAGTTCACTGCTGAAAGACAGTGAGGACCGAACGATGACTATGAGCTGATGCTGCCACGGGTCTTAAGCTCAGTCAGACAGGTGGGAAGTGGAGGGAAGGCAGAGCTGACGGGAGCTAGGAGCCCTTGGAGATGCCTGGAGTGGGAACGAGGGCATTCTTCTGGGTTTAACTGGTGCTGGTGGGGTGAGGACTGGCTGCTGGCGATCCAAACTGTGTAACGTGTGTTTCCTATGGGAGCTGGGCTGCATCTGCAGGTGTCTGGCTGGCTCAGGGAGGCTCCTGTCCCGGGGATGCTCAGCTTCTCTTCATTAGCCATTGGGAACCATCTCTCAGAGTTGACCTATCTTTTATCTTTTCGTCAAGGGGAGAAAGTTTAAACACACACTGGCTACTGGCACAATACGACACATGACACAGGGCACATGCTCAGTAAATATTTGTGGGGTAAACAAGTTAAAGGGGAGAGGAAACAAGAAAGGAAGCGGCAATCTGCCCCCCAACACTGTCTGTAGCTGTCTTCATCTATCACACCAGCACACACATATGGAGCAGCGGTCACTGCAGGGTTAATCCATTAAGTGGTTAGTTGGTTACAGTCCATACCTGTGGACCTAGCAGCACCCAGCTCTCAGTATCCAGGAAGCAGCAGCTGCCTCCCACCCCCATCACACAGTCACCAAAACCAGCCAAGAAAACACAGTCATGGGCACCAAAAGGTTAGGGAGATTCCAGGGCAGGAGGTTCATATCAAGTGGGTGAGTCTGTGCAGAGTTGCGAACCCTACGGTGAGGTGGAAAAGATCCCATCTCGGCCATCACACTCACTCCACACAAGAAAACAAGTCTGCAGGAGCCAGCCTGCGACCCTCCGGACACCTAATTCACCCCACAGCATACAGCACAAAGCCCCAGGGTCTGGGTGGACAGTGAGCATGTGCAGCAGGCAGATTAGCACAGAGCCCTGCTCTGGGCGTCATGGCACACTGGAATGTGACCGGAGAAAAGCTACAGCAGCACCCCATTTGTAGGATGTGGGCTCCCAAACCACAGAAGTATCTCGGGGAGGAAGCAGCGACTGGAAAGGAGCCATGTTCAAAGTCAATGAAAGGCTATACCCTCCCTGGAAGTCAGAGGGAGCCCCACCACCCAGTAAGATCTAAGAAGAGCCGAGTGCCGTGACTGGGGGGTCTGCAGCACCAGCATGTTGAATCCTCACGACCCATTTTGACAACACCACTTCTGTTTCCAGCAGAGGAAACTGCGTTTCTATGAAGTTGGCAGACTTGCCCCAAGCTCACAAGTTCACTCTGTTTTGGATTCTGAGCTGTGCCATGGGGGTTACTTTAAATTGACTCTCTGTCTGAAGCCGGAGATGCCACCTGCCCCCATTTCTGACGGGCAAATTCAGAACAGATTTCTAATAACCCCAAATCCAAAGGCCAAGAGGTGAAGGAGAAAGGCGTTTTGTCCTTGCGGACCTCTGTGGTCTATTTCCCTCACCAGCTAAGATCCCAGCTCTCCACGGTGGCAACTGATGAAGCTGGAGAAGAGGCTGGGGTGGGGATGAGGAGGCTGCAAGGCCTCTCAGCTGGATTCTTAGGGGTATGCGCATCTTGCAGAAGAATCAGGGTGACTAGTCGCTTTACAGAGAGACGAGAAGGCTGGAGCTAAAGGAAGGTTATGAGGAAACGTCGGCTGTGCAGGAGGGATCACATGGACACTTCAGGAAGAGAGCCTGGCTGGTGACTTTGGGAGCCCCTGTTCCTGAGGGAGGGTACCTAGTTTCTTTCCCTGGAGGAGACACAGGAACCAGTAACGACCAAGAAGGTAACTATTGCATCAAGTTCTGTGTGGTGAAAGATATCTCTTTAGATAGGACCGCTCTTCTCACCATGGAGGCAGGGATGCTACTGTCCATTTCCAGTCTTCAGTTTGGGGTGTACCCCGATACCGAGGAGGTTGGGATGTACCCCGATACCGAGGAACTCCAGAATCCAGGTGCCAGGCTCAAAGCTGCATAGATTCAAGAAAAGCTGCCTCTTGCAAGCTGTGGGGCTTCAGAGGACTCATGGATCTTCAGAGCCAGATGGTTGGTCAGGGGACATCAGGGCGCGACCCCACTTTAATCAAAATGGCTTGGAGGGTCGGATGAGGAACAGTTTCTGGCTGTCTTCTACTGAGAAAGGTCTAAGGTGCTGACGAACTTAGCCGTTCCCTCTCTCCGTGCCGCCTGCCGGCAGAACAATGGTTCGACACATCAGCTGTATCCGGGACCTTTGCCAAGCGCAGCTCTCTACGGCAGCCGGACCCGCATTCTCTCTGCTGTCTTCGGTTCTCAGAACTAAGAACCAGAGGCATGTGAGGCAGGCTTCCTGGCACCGCATCCATCGTTCTGGCCCTAGGAATGGCTGAGCAAAAGGTATGGGAGGGGGGTGGCGTCTCTCGGTCTAGAAATGTCTAGTGTGTCTTGCTGTTAGGAAAATTCTTCTATACATTTCACTCAAACCTTGCCTGCAATCGTTGCAGCTCTTTCCTCTTACCCAGTTCTTAGCGGAGCTAGCAATCTGGGCAGCTTTCACACCTCTAGTGTGCTCTAATATCCCTCTCTCTCCCTGTGGAGTACCTCTCCTCCTGCAAGTGTGCCTGCCTTTCTCTCCCGGGCTTCTCTTCAAATTCTCCGCATCTCCCTTAATTTAGAAACAGATGGCCTATATACGATCCAGTCCACACAAAACCTTCCCCTTTAAATCCAACAATGGGTTATATATTAACACTGTCAGTGTGCACAGCCGTTTAGCAGGCTACGGGCACACGATCCTCTTTAACTTTCACGACCGTCTTTGAGGCTAGTAATCGGCCTGTTTGGCGGAAGAGGAAGTCAAAGTTCGAAGGCATTAAATGGCTTGCCCCGTGTTACTTGGTGGTGTGTGCTGGAGACTGGCTTTGACGCAAGGCAGTACACCTCCACGTACACGCTAAAAACCACCGGATTTCAGGCCGGGACAAGACACAAGTGGCTTTCTCTGCCCATCGGAGGGGTTGGGGTGGCTTCTGGCCCGTGTCCAGAGGATGCCAGCTCTGTGCAGATCATCAGAACAGAACAAAAGGACCGGGTGGCCCTACTGCTAGAAAAGAGACATGCCACATCTCAGAGCCAAACAGAGCTGTACACTGGGCGTTTGTCACCGGCTGGCATCTCTGTGCGCCCAGGAAGAACTTCCTCACTTCCTTGTTTTTTCCTTCTTTCTAAAACCGTCAGCTTGGTTGTCCTGTGTTCAGTATGTGCCTCGTTTTAACTTTATGTCCTTCCCAGGAGCATCAGGCTATGCCAGCCATGTCCTGGTGCAGACTGAGGACCCAGGGTTCAGTCTCTATGTGGGCTCTGTTGCTTCCACAGTCCGAGTGATTCTCACAAATCTCACTTATTTTCTTCTTTAAAAAAAAAAAGCTGACCCCTGGAGACAAGCTGGGTTATGTATGGCTGAAATCACCCAGTCATCTCCCATGGATAAAACAACTACATCCCCTGCTTTACATAAAGCAAAGAACTGGAGCCAGGTGGCCTCCAAGGGCTCCGATATGTTCTGGATGTCAGAGCACTTCCTACAATAGATATTTGGGGTTCAATTTAGAAAAAGGCACATTCCACAGCAGTGCTCTGGGACTTTTTGACACAACAGTGGCTGGCCCCATTATCTTGAAAACAAATAATCCCCAGAATCTAACAAAGGCCCCAGCTTCCTTGGGCAGTAAATCTCTCTGGCAGATTCTCAGCGTGGTTTTTGCGGCTGGTGCCAAGTTGGAACCTTTGTTTTCCCTTGGCTCTCATTTCCTGTCCCATCCTCCACTCCAGACACTGATCATTGCTTATATTAGCCATCTCAGCAAAGACATTCCTACCCATTCGAGCTCCCAAAGATCCCCTTGGGGACCTGAACTCAGCTCAGAACCATAGCTGATGATGGGACCAGCTGCCTTGCCAAAGCCAGCGGATGCTGAGTCCAATGGCTGCTCAGGGAACATGAGGCATTCTTAAGCCACAGTGAGGGGAGGCTCAGGTGTGGAAATAGCCAGTTCCCCTATTAATCAGACCTAGCAGCCAGCTGTGGTTTGTTAGAAATACAAATCATTGTGATCGTCCCATGACTTGCGGACGTGGCTGGTGGGCACTGGATTTGCACACACTGCCAGAAAGGAGAAACGGTACAGAGGTCAGGGACAGCGAGGGACAACTTCATTCATACTTACCTGGAAAGAGAACTCTGGCCTGGATTCTTAATCTCATTTTCTAGGCAAACCTTAAATCTTTTTTAAAAAAAGATGTACATATTTTTATTTTACATATATGCGTATTTCACCTGCATGTACGTAAGTGCACCGTGTGCCGGCCTGATACCTGTGGAGACCAGAAGAGGGTGTCGGAGTCCCTGAAACTGGAGTTACAGATTGTTCTAAGTCACCATGTAGATGCTTGAAATTAAATCAGGATTCCCTGCAAGAGCAGTCGGAGCTCTAAACTGCTAAGCCATCTCTCCAGCCCTCTAGAAAAACTCGGAAGACATATGGGACCTGGCTGAGATGCAATACTCTCAGGAAGTAAAGTGCAGTTACAAAGAGGCAATTCACACCCAGACACTGAAGGGTTAACTCAATGAAAGCTGTCTGTGCTCTTTACACTACCAGTGGGAGCTGGACCTCCCGTTTCCTCCTAACTGTGGACTCCATTATCAAACCTCATCTGTTACGGTTAAGTCTGAAATGTACCCCTGCCCTGGTCCATGCTTGTTCCCCAGCTCACGGTGCTGTTTTAAGGGCGGGTGAACCGTTCAGGAGGTGAGATCTAGCTGGTAAGAGTAGGTAACTAGAGGTGGGCCTTTGAAGGGCACCTTGGTTCTTGCCTTGCTCTCTGCTCCCTAGTCTGCTGTGATGTGAACAGTCTCTACATATACTCCTGCCGATAGTGAATGGAGCTACGGTGCCTGCTTCCCCCACTGTGAAGGACCAAAACGCTCTGAAACTGTAAACTGACGTAAAACTCTGACCTCTCAAGTTGTTTCTCAGATAATGTGGACACAGGGATGCAAAAGTCCAATTTCCATCCATCTGTTGCTGATCCTTAAGTCGGCAGAGTCCTCTGTGGAGATCTACCCTGCTTTATTTGCTAAATTCTTAGAAGGTAGTTTTGAGACTAGCACATTGGAAGGACAAGGAGGAGACACTTCCGATATGAGCCACCCCAAACTCCCGCGCTGGCCACCTTGCTCCAGGTGGGCAGTGTCCTGAGGTGTCCCTTCGGCACCTTGCCTGGCCAGCTGTCCGCTCTGCCACCCAGCAGGGGTTAATGTCACCGTATCAGTTCAAGTTAGCCAAAGTGGATTAGGTAGGACAGGAGAAGTTACTCCCCGGACTCACCACTGTATATGTCAGGGTGGTTTCTTAAGGACGAGTCATTATAGGGGTTGTCTGCAATAAACAAAAGAGGGTGAGCAAACAGGGAGGCCCAGAGCAGCTGTGGGCGCAAACATGAGGAGGAGGAAGAGAACAGAAATGCAAAGCCACATCGCAACCGAGGAGAGAGCCCTTTGGGGTTTTGCCAAAGAAAATGGTGCACGCGGAAAAGGAACGCGCTTGGTAGGGAACAGGCAACACAAAGCAGCTTGAAGGGAAACGAAACGGTTAAATCCTGCGAAAGAAGGCAACAATAAAACGGGGTTATATTGGAAGTAAAGGAATGAGGCTCGAACTCTGCTTGGTCCGTCGCTATTTTGAACAAAGGAGGGAAGGATTAGTGTCTTGCAGGTCTTGTGGCTGGTTCTGAACCAGCTTCTCCCCAGTCCCCAGGACTCCACGTCAGACCAGCTAGAGAAAAAGGAGTGTTAGTGAGACCTGCGGAGGACAGCAAAGCCCCGCCTGGCTGCAGGGGTAGGTGTGTGTGTGTGTGTGTGTGTGTGTGTGTGTGTGTGTGTGTGTGTGTAGGTGTGTGTGTGTGTGTGTGTGTGTGTGTGTACATACAGTAAGACAGTCATCAGCAGAGAGGAACAGAGGGCCCTTTGCAGAGCCCAGCAAGAAGAGGATTCTAATCTGACCAGGTGGGCATCACTTGTAGACCCTGCCAGACATCTGCTGGGAAACCCTGGTGGAGGTTCCTGAAGGGGAATTTGAGTCAGGGCAGGAAGATGAGGGGATGAACCCTACATCTGAGACTAGAGCTCTCTAGACAGCATGGGAACAGGGACTTTCTTTTCCTCCCCTGCCCCCAAGTCAGAGTTTCCCTGTAGCTTTAAATCCTGTCCTGGAGCTCAATCTGTGGACCAGGCTGGCCTTGAACTCACAAAGATCCACCTGTCTCTGCCTCCCAAGTACTGGGATTAAAGGCGTGTGCCACTGCCGCCTGGCAGGGACTTTCTTTCAAAAGCAAGATCAGTGGCTGCCCTTGCAATGTCAGGCGATTAAAGCCCTTGGTCCTTCAGTCTTCATGAAGACATTTTAGAACATAAACACACCACTCTACTCAGGTAGCTTTTCACTCTCTACCTATACCCTTGAGGGCTCACGTTCTGACAGTACCCACGGAGGAGGGAAGCCAAGTAGATAACCCAGAGAGCCAAGACACAGTCCAACTTCCAGGGGAGGGCAGTGGCTGTGTTAGAACATTTGCATATTTAAAGACAGATCAGATCCCATCACAAGTAATTATAAGAGGGTATGTGAACTCTTCTCTGGGCTCGGCACTGAATTGCACCCCCAATCTGCTTTACAGCCAGCAATGGGAAGATTTTGCCTCTCAGAGCTGCTTCTCCTCACTGGGGTTGGCTGAGAAAGACCTCGCTGCTTTGGAAGTCAGTTTGGATGCCCTGGCTGGAAGATGGGAACTGATCCACAGCAGAATGAAGGGGTAGGTGGTGGTACCAGGTAGTGGATGCTGACATAGTGCTTAGGAGAGAATGTCCGTCCCCCGGGAGAGCACAGTGGCAGGCTCAGCCGGAAGGGGCCCTTCTCTCTCATTCCCATGGTTCCAGGTGGAACAGGGTCTTTCTCTCTTCCAGGGAAAGACCCTGCGCACAGCCAACTTCACTGCGGCTTTGGCAACATGTGGAAGAGATCCAGGGAGATTCTGTCCTTGAGGAATGCCATCTGACACTAGCAGGGAGTGTGGAGTGCACTCCATTGTCTGCCCTGGCAGATCCCATCCTCCCTAACCAGGGTGCTTCTTATGGCAGCAGTAGAGACCTTGTGCCTGTCACACTATGGACAAAGTCACAGATGGGTCTTTATTGGCCTGACTCTCCTGGTTATCTTTTACTTCATCCTAAAACAAGTTAAAAATGACTTTTAGGTTGCCTGGTATTTTGTTATACACACACACACACACACACACACACACACACACACACACACACACACACACACACGTACACATGCACACATGTACAAATAAATGCATGTATCTTTCTCCCCTTCCTTTGATGCGACTAATAAGAACAGTGTAATGAGACTGATTTTGTCCCCAAAGGCAGAATACAGGCAGACTGCTTGGCTTCCCATCCAGACCTGGTTCTGGTTCTGAAGGAGGTAAAGAAAGCCCATGCCCTTTCTAGACAGGAAAGTCAACAGAGCCCAACTGTGCTATTTTAAGAAACTGTGCCCAATTCTAGACTGGCTCAGATGCCCAGAACTTGCTTCCAGCCAAAGCTGCTCTTGGGAGAACTCCAGGAGGCTGGCAGGGTTCTGTTCAGGTTACCAAGAGTTGTTCTTGTCATTGGGAAGAGTTTCCAATGGGCCGGGCAACTCAGAGTGAAGCAGAGACAAGCATCCCTTACATCCTCTGGAGAAAAGGATGCTTCTGGAAAGTTCCATTGCTAAGTGTCATTTAACCTGAACATGCTCCCAGACTCTGCACACAACAGCAGACACCTCGCTCCGGCCCTTAGCAGTAGGCTGACTGCCAGCATCACCCTTTCTAGGGGGACGTGAAGGCTGTGCAGGGTCCTCCTCCTGACAGTTCTCCTCCTTCTCATCCAGCCCTGTCCGGGATGAGGTCACGCAGAGGGCCTGGGCAGACCACACTGTCCTCCTTCATTCAGCCAGCTGGCAGATAGCCACCTGAAGTCATCTGAGGAGGCCCAGCAGGAGAATCAACTTCCTTTCCCAGGGTTCTCCTGGGGTGGGTTCAGGAGTCAGAAAACCAGGGCCTCTGCAGTATCTGGCAGGGCTCCTTGTGGGGCATGAGCAATCCCAGGGCTGTCTGTCCCTTCATGGGAGACAACACCCACTGGCAAAGGCGTACCACAGAGCAGGAGGCAGGTGGCCTCCAGAGGGAAAGACTAGCAAGAAAAGAAAGCAAGGTAGAGGGAGAAAGAGCAGAGAAAAAATGAAAAGAAGAAGAAAATGAAAGAAAAAAAGGAGGAAGAGACCCTGAGAAGTAAACAAGAGGAAGTGTCTCCTGAGGAAAGGGATGAGGCTGTGTTGATGCTGTGGTGCATCTGCCCATCACCAGCATAGATGAAAGGGATCTCTGCCAGTGCTGAACAAGCCCACCCAAGGCATTCCCTAGGGCAGCGTCAGCCCCTGGAGGCAGGCCTTGGGCAGCCAAGGCTCAGCCTCATTTTGACCTGTGGTACTCCTGGCATGGCATCCTCACTTTCCTCACCATCCACAGCACATCGCTGACAATGACATTCATAGCACGAGTCAGGCAGATTCGAGACTCTTTAGAAGGTCCGCGTCCGTGGTGTAAACAAACTCAGGCGACATCTTGAACAAGCTGAGGACTGTAGCTGAAACTCCTGCCTGACTTGTCCTGGCGTGACTCTGGAGAGAGCCACCACCCACTGTAGGGGCCCAGGGAATGCTAATTTGCTTTTGTGTTAGCCAAAACCAATCAGGGGGTAAAAACGAACCCCCACGAAGTGAAACATAAACCTGCAGTTTATAGACACAGCATGGCCATGTGGCCCAGCAAATACGTATTACAGAAGGAAACACAATTTATTCCGGCGTGTCCACTGGTCCTAGACTCTTTCGCACCAGCTTTCTTCTAGAAACAAACGCAACCAATGACTAGAAATAAAAGGAAGACGCCGAGTATACCATAGACATTTCTATCTGATGGTCACTTAAAGTCATCTCCAACTCCAGGAGCATTTGAATGAGAGCTGAGGGCTCCAGGGAGCCCAAACCTGCCGAGGTAAGACAGGGCTGCACCTTGGTACATGACTCTGATTCCAACCAAAGTGCAAGCCCTGGCTTAGCAGAGGACCAAGTTTGACCCGAGACTTCTGCATCCAGAGATGCTGCACAGGGCAGTGGCAGTGGCTCAGGCACAATGAGCCAGAGAGGATTCCGGGCCAGCCACGGGTACGCATGATGTGTGGGCTTAGGGCCTGCGTCCTGTGGCCCCCAGCCCTGAGCAGGACCTGCACTTACTGGTAAGGACCTTGAGGGTGAAGGGGTTCTTCTGCTGGATGGTGTGGGTGAAGTGGAAGCGTGCATTGCAGCTGTAGTCGGTCTGCATGTCCTGCAGCATGACGTTGGAGAAGTATAGGTCCCCATTATGGCCCTGGGAGACACGCTTGTCCTGAGTGATGGGCTCCATGGCTGTGGGGAAGCAGAGGGGTGACAGGTTAGCAGACGGACTCAACGATAATCATCTCTGCTGTGTAGGAGACCAGATGGGGGCTGGAGCTTGCTACTCCTCCCAATCCTGCAGCAGGACGTGTCCGCTCCTTATAGCAAAGTGAAGGGCTGAATACATCCAAGGGGGTACATTTAAACCCAGATGGACATGTTCCCTTTGCCCAGGCTCTGTGACCACACTTTTCTAATTTCAGTTCATGCCACAACCTGGCTGACCTGAAGGCCAGAGGGAGAGAGCGCAAGCCTTTGCTCGCCCCCTGAGTCAGGGGTCAAGTGCACACCAAGCACAGGGAACAACCAGTACTCCTTCATCCTCAGACCTCAGTACCCAGCTGGTGCCAGAGCACACAAGGGCTCTCAATTGTGTGTTAAGTGCGTCTGAACTTGGCCTTGTTGCGCTTAGTCAAAATTTAGCCATCCTCAATTATAATCGGGACTTTTATTTTGTTGACAATTACAATTGTCAGATGTATGCTGACGGATGATGCACACTGTCGATTTTAAGAGGTTTTAGAGTTTTTAGAGATCTTCCAGTTTTAGAGATGGTAAGACACAGGACAGAGGATGAACAGCATAAGAGTGGCCAAGGATGTGACATCGCTGTATTTTTCAGAAACTGGTGCTAACATTCAGGGTCAGCGCTTCAAGCTGTCAGGTCTGTTGACCTGCACTCAGCCTGATCGACTTCCTGTTCCCACACTGCTTCTTCACGTCAGTGATGCCAACTGTCCCTCAACAGGTGCTCGCTTCTTCCAATCACTCCTCAAAGGTCTGCTGAGGGCCTGCTGTGTGCCAGGTCCCACGTTCCAGGGGTTGGTGAAAGAGAGACAAACCTTCAGGACAACAGGACCGAAGGAAGAGGTGGTGTGGAGAGGAGAACGCACTGGGGAGGAAGGGCCGGGCGGCAGAAGGGACCTTGTCCTCTTGGGAGTCCTGAGCCGAAGCCTGAGGTCTGCATGTCTGTGTCAGGCACAGAAGACAGAGATGCTGCAAGGTCCTGAGAAGCGGGAGGAGTGTGCCTGAGGCTGAAATGGCATGGTCTAGCCCAGAGCTGAAGGGCGTAGGGATGAAGGGGAAGGGCTGGAGGGGCAGAGGAACCGGGTCATGGAGGAGACTGTCCCAGGTAAAGGAGTCTGGGCCTGTCCTGAAGCAAGAGAGGAACCAGGGAGAGCATTCAAACGAGGCTACCTGATCCCGTTCTTAAAGAAGACCTGTGATGAATGAGATTTAAACCAGGTGGAAGCTAACAGGGCTCTGGCTGAGGAGATATGAGTGAGGAGAGAAAGAAGAGGGCCATGAGAGGTGCCATGGACCCGACTCAGCGACAAACAGGATGAAATAGGTGAGAGAAGAGGGTCCGAACTCACCCACCCACGGACAGCCAGGCATCCTTCCCCACAGACGTGAGGAGGCAGAGAGGGACGATGGCCGTGTACAAAGATGGCCGTGTACAAAGCCACCCTCTCCTGGCTGTACTGCCTCCCCGCACAGCCTCATCGGAAACAGGCTGGACAGTCAGGGTAGACGGACTGACAGACGGTAGGCAGGTAGGTAGATGGATGTATAGGATAATGGATGGGTGTCTAGACAGAGGGGTGGATAGATGGACGGGGAGGGAGGGACAGAATGAGGGACAGACAGGTGGGCATAAAGGGTGAGGGGAGGGGAGTCCAGGGAGATGGGCAGGGAGTGAGAGCCAGAGCTCAGGGCAGGGCCAGGGTGGGGGGCGGGAGGGCTCATCTCTCCTCTGAAAGTGCTCCCTATTATTTTAATTGAAAACGTGGAAAAAACCGAAGTCTTTGCAGAGCTGGCTGAGCATCGGTCCACGACGGATCCGGAACCCTCTCTGGGTGCTGTTGCCTGGTCTCCTGCTCCACGCTCTATCTCCCTTCACCACCCATGGAAAACGTCAGTCTCCAACTCCCCTTCCAACTTCCGAGGGTGGGGACAGGAGTAGAACCAGACGGATCCAAGATGAAACAAGACTCTTAGCCCAGGTTATCCTCTTGAAAACACTTGCTTTCTCCTTCTTTTGTTATCCTTCACCTTCATCAGTGCAGGCACCAAGGACTTCCTGCGTGTGTGGCCCAGCTCTGAACAATCCTTACCTCTACCCCACCTCCCTCACGCACACGCGGATGGCGGTTCTTTTTCCAGAAGAGGGAGCAGAGGCTCAGAGCGGCTGCTTTTTTTTTGTTTTGTTTTTGTTTGTTTGTTTTTGTTTTAGAGACAGGGTCTTTTGGTGCAGCCTTGGCTATCCTGAAATTTGCTCTGTACATCAGACTGGCCTCAAACTCACGGAGATCCGCCTGCCTCCCCCACCCCCCATGCCCCACCCAAGTTCTGGGATTAAAGGCGTGTGCCACCTCCACCCAGCTAGCTTTGAAGCACCTTGCTCATGGCCACACAGTAATATCAGCCTCTCTGCATAGCTGTTTTGCACCACGTGACCACTTCACATCTGCTTCTCACTAAGGGGTTTGTTGTTGTTATTTTGTTTCTTGTTTCGGTTTAAGATTCAGGGGAAGTCCGCCATGGTGGGGAAGGCTTGGCAGAAGCATGGGGCGGCTGGTCATCCAGCATCCACAGCCAGGGAGCAGAGACGCAGGATGCTGCCCGGCTTGCTGTCTCCATTTTACTTAATCCGCGATCCCAGCCCATAAACTGGTTACCACCTATATTTTTGGGTGTTTTTTTTTTTTTTTCATTTTAATTAACCTACCTAGAGATCCCTTACAGACAGAGATTTGTCTCCAAGATCATTTGAGAGCCCGTCAAGTTCACAGTTAACATATTAACCATCATACCTCCCATTCAACCCACCCACCACAGGCCCTGGAGCTGGGCTCTCGGTGAGGCCAGGCTTCCATACTTACAGCTGCTCATCCAGAAGATGACCGGGGACGGGAGGCCAGGTGGGGGGTTGCACTGCAGTGTCAGGGGGGCCCCCTCTTGAACCACGACAGGGTCTAGGTTTTCCTTGGGCCACAGGGGAGATTCTGAGGAGAAACAGAGGAAGGGGGGAGTGAAGCTGATGGCCAGAGCCTGGCAGGCTCAAGAGAAGGGGAGATGGGAAAATTGGGGAGGCAAGAGAGAGGACATAGAGAGTGGGTCTTGAAAGGAGGGAGAGGCTTTTTGTGACACTGGACGCTCGTCTTCAGACGGCCTCTCCTCTCCCCTTCTCCAGTGCTCGGAGTAGCTGGTAAGGGTGTACCGGCCAGTCTGGGAGGTTTCTTTCCAGGAATCTTTCTGGGGTCGAAGAGGACAGAGCCTCCCCCACACCCCCTACACACCAGGGAGCCAGCACCAGCCCCGTCCCGGGCACTCACTGGACACCTGCAGGCGGATCCGGTTGCTAAGCGCAGTGCCGAATTTGTTTCGGGCAAAGCACTGGTATTCCCCTTCATATTCCTCAGGTCGTCCACCGCTGCGGAAGTCGATCACCAAGGTCCCAGACCTCCTCCTCATGGACACCCGTGGGTCCTTGGCAATATTGAAGAACCTGCTGTTTCGAGTCCAGTGAAAGCTGTGGATGACAGGGGCCAGATCAACCGTATGTGAGGGCTGGAATAGGTCAGTTCCTAGTGCCCGGCTCCGTGGCAGACTTCTACTCCATCACCTCATCTCTATGCCAGTGGACCCAGTCCTGGCTGGGAAGAGCTACCTGATATGCTTGGGAGAATGCAAAGGCCCAGGTCATGCCTGCCGGGACTGTACACACTGTGAGTGCAGTTACTAGCTAAGGCTGGCTATGAGTAGTAGGTACCCAGCTTCTCCAGTGGGTTCTGTTCTGTGGGCACATAACTCAGGGGTATGTTGTAGAATATTATTTTAAGATGTGTTACATTTGCTGATGCCGTGAAACATTTGTTTAATGATGCAAAGACGTGTTGCATTCTTTTATGTCGCATTTGTTTAACTCTGTGAAGCTGTGATACTTTGCCTGTCTAAAACACCTGACTGGTCTAGTAAAAAGCTGAACGGCCAATAGCAAGGCAGGCAGAGAGAGAATAAATAGAAGGAGAAATCTGGGAAGAAAGGAAGAAGGAGCAGGAACAAGGAGAGGAGGACAGCAGGGGCCAGCTGCCTAGCCACCCAGCCACCCAGCCACGCAGCCACATAGCCACCCAGCCACGCAGCCACACAGCCACACAGCCAGCCATGGAGTAAGAGTGAAAGTAAGATTACAGAAGTAAGAAAAGGAAAAAACCCAGAGGCAAAAGGGAAACAGGATAATTTAAGGAAAGCTGGCAAGAAGCAAGCCAAGCTAAGGCCAGGCATTTATAATTAAGAATTAAGCCTCCGTGTGTGACTCATTTGGGAGCTGGGTGGAGGGCCCCCACAAAGAGCAAAAGAGCAAAAGAGTAAAAAACAACCAACAACAGGGACAGACAGTGGTTTCTTAAAAAACAAAGCAGAACCAGCTGCTTTCTTTACCCACTGACATTCCTGGGCTCCTCCTAAGAGTTCAAACTCCTTATTTCACCAACCCACATGTGCCAAGGTGCCACCTCTCTGCTCTGCCACGCCTTAATAGTGCCATTTGCTCTGAAGACAGCATGGGCAGCAGAGGCTGCCTGTTCCAAGGTTGACAAGTGCTTCTTGGGGACCATGGGACAGCAGCGTGGGGACCATGGAAGGGCAGCTTTGGATGAACTGGCAGGCTAATGACATAGAGCTGGAAAGAGCCTAAACTATCCCCCTGGGCCTGGGGCGTGGAGGACTCAACAGCAGAGCACTTGCCTAGAGCACGTACAAGAATCTAAGTTCCACCCTTCATATGAAAGAGGAGGAAGAAGAGGAGAGGAGGAAGGATGAAGGCATCATCATCACCATCATCATCAACAACAGCATCACCACCACCACACCATCATCATCATCATCATCATCATCACATTCTCAGCTTGTCCTGGAAGGATGTCGCAGCCAGCCACACACATTCTTGGCTCCCTGTTCTGTTGGTAAAGACACAGCAAGGTGCAAGAACAGCAATGGCTGCTGAGCGTCCTCGTCGCCACAGAGGATCCATGTGGGAAAGACCGGTCTTAGAGGCATGGTCACTAGTGTTCTGACTGGCCTTAGAGGGTGACTCCCACTGGGGGTGAGGGAATCCCTGCTGGTTCTGGGTGCATCATTCCTGGTTTGACTGTCTCACACGAACCCGGCGGCAGAGTGAACTTCCACCCTGCCTTGTCTCCCTGATGCTGGACACACACTGCCACTTTGAAACCGGAACACATTATTTAACATTTTCACTTTGCCAGGCTATGCCATTTTTCAGAAACGGATCTGGTCTTGGTGGTCAAGGAGTGGGTCTAAACCCTGGTTCAGTCAAGCTGGTGACTGGTAGGAAGGGTGTTTAAAATCACCCTCTCTCCTCAGGAAGACACTGGCCCTGCCACAGAGGAAGAGGGGCGGATGAATCAGACCACATAACAGCACAAAAAAGTCCAGATAGGACAGGTTTCTCCTTCTTGTCTACTGACCTCGAATTTGAGACAAGCAACAGAATGAAAGCCTTGAGTTAGCTAGGAAGAGGGACTTCCTGAAAGCTGAACATGGGGTGGATGATGGTCACACAGGGCAGCACAGCATGTTACACCAAAAGTCTGAAAATAACATCGAGCTGTGTGTCTAGTGGCACACACCTGTAACCCTAGTACTTAGGAAGGGAGACTGGGGCAGGAGAGTGATGAGTTTGAGGCCAGCCTGGGATACACACCGAGAATCCAGGGTCTCACTGCGACAGAAACAAGCATGTTAATGTCTTCATCCTGGTTTCCTTGTGAGGTAAATTTCCTACTTTGCTAAAACGGGTAAAAATCCCACAAATACAAGGGCAGTTCTGGTTTTTTCCAGAAGAGGCAATGGAGGCCTAGAGCTCCGAAGCAATGTGCTCACGACCACACAGTAACATCTGCCTCTCTGCACAGCTGTTTTGAGCCACGTGGCCACTTCACATCTGCTTCTCACAAGCTGGCCCTCCTGTGTGGCACCTGGTAAACGTCAATGGATGTTGTTTGGATGGATGAACCAGACATTTAAAAAAAAGATTTGTTTTACCTTGAATTATGTATGGGAGTATGTGCAGGGGTATGTGTGGGTATAGAGGGGTATGTGCTGAGGTGTGTGTGGGGGGATATGTGGGGGGTATGTGTGTGTGGGGAGGATGTGTAGGTGTGTGTGGGGGTATGGGGGGTATGTGTGTGGAGAGGATATGTGGGGCTTATGTGTGTGTGTGTGGGGGGGGGTATGTGCACTCGATTGCCTGTGGAGGTCAGGTGCAGTGGATGCTCCTGGAGCTGGAGTTACAGGTGACGAGGATGCTTGGAACTGTGCTCAGGTCCTCTGCAAGCTCTGTGCCAACTTTTCAGTTTGCTTGCTGTAAGTATGACCAAGAGGTGGGTCAGGTCAAGGGTGACTTTTCAGGTCCCTCTCCTCCACTCACCTGGGGGCAGGATTCCCTTTAGCTTCACATTCAATCAGGATGTTATCACGGGGGTCCACGATGTGGTCCTTCACTGACTGCTTGGTGATCGTTGGGGGCTGGGTCACTGCAACAGGACACATATGGGTCAGAACTGCAAGGACCTGCCCCAAACTTGGTTTAGGGAGGGGCTAGAGTCAAGAGCACCAGGAGCCATCGGGGCAAGCAGGCAAGGCAAGCAAGCAGGTATGAGTGGTACCCTGTTCTAAAGATGCAGCTTCTCAAACAGGCTTGCAGGATGGGGGTGGATGTCAAAGGAGGAGCATAGGAACCCCTTTAAGAAGGTCCAGTCTCGGGGTTGCGGACTTAGCTCAGTGGTAGAGCGCTTGCCTAGCAAGCGCAAGGCCCTGGGTTCGGTCCTCAGCTCCAGAAAAAAAAAAAAAAGAAGGTCCAGTCTCCCTCTGAGCAACTGAAAACCAGGCTTTGTTTCATCCAGGCTCATACACCAGTGCCCAGCACATTGCACAGGGCACAACAGATCCTGCTAAGTGTGTGCTGAGTGGGTACAGGAACGAAAGCAGGCTATGACTGCAAAACCCAGGGCTGTGATGGTTCTGAGCCACGAGTCCCAACAGACGGCCAGACTGCTGAGGCCGCAGCCAAAAGAGGCTTCAGGCCCTTAGAGCTTCTCAAGGGCTTCCCTGTGTACCAGCAAGCTGGTGTTCTGCCCAGGGGTGCAGTGCCAGCCACCAGTGGATGAAGGAGCTGCAGACGCTGTGGAGTATCCCAGCTGCCATCCATAGACCTTCCTCTGAGCACCTACCCAGCCCCCGTGTCCTGGGGACATCATCTTCCATTCGCAAAGGACTCACGATACTAGGCTTGAGCAGCACCCGCAGGCAAGGAAGAGGCCACTGGTGCCAAGCCCTGTTTCCTCAGCTGGCCATTTCCCAGACCCTCCTCCCCCCTCCAACCCCCCAGAGGCTCAAGGGCATGGAGGCACACGGGGCACTTACGCTCATTCTGAATGCTTGCTGTTAGTTCCAGTGGGTTAGCATTGGGAGGGGAAGAGAAGGAGAACACTGTTATTGCGCACAATTGGTAGGGCATCCTCTTGCCCTAGCATACAGGGTTGGGGTCGGGAGACATGGGAACAGCACTGGGCATGGGGTTTCCCCCAGATGCGGAGCTTGGCAAGAGAGCCAGGCAAGGTTGGAGAACAGACCCAGCAAATACTTCATGGAAAAGATGTATCACCAGGGAGACCGAGACTACACAGTAGGGCAGGACCAGTAACCAATGGAGATGCCACCAGGGATGTCCAAATGTCCCCAAATGATAACGCTGCCCGAAAGGGACCCCTCAGATGCTTCCTCGTATCTGATACCATTGAGGGATGTGGGAGCCTTGGTGCACAGGGTCAGCATGGAGATGCTGGGGAACCAGTAGATGAGTGGACTTTAACCACTTGTAAGGGACAGGGGCCTAACGTACAGAAGCGCTGAGGGCCCGGCATCCCATTCCTTTATTATACTGTTTCTCTCGTACACAAAACCATGTTCTATAAAAGTCCTGTTCCTGGCTGACAGGATCCCGGCATGTGGCCAAGGCCACCACCACTCCTTCTTGTGTCTTCCACAAATGGGACAAAGAGGTAGCGGTACACATCCTCTCCAGCCACGTCTGAGCACACGGGCCGTGCGCACCTGCGGCACACATCCTCACCAGCCGCGTCCAAGCACACGGGCCGTGCACAAGTGTGCTCCTGCTTCTCACACGCCACCCAGCAGACGAATCACTGCAGCTAGAGAAGATGCAGGCTCTGGCTGGGATGGCCCGCTGGAGATCTTCCACTCACTTTGTTGCTTTCTTTCAATGCTGGGGGTGGAACCCAGGCAAGTGCTCTACTACGGAACCTCATCCATTCCAAGTCCTACATTCCTGACAAAGGCCTACGAACTGTGTGCCCTGGGTAGCACAGTGGAAAGACGTGGAAAGCAAGCCTTGGTGCAAACAGATGTGGAGAAAAGACAAGCGATGTCTCCAGGACTCTTCGGTGTCTTTTCTTAGGATACCACGAGGAAGCAACATGACATCCTCATGTCACGCCAGTGCAGGGGTCAGGCATGCACGGGCACCGTGGGCTTCCTTTTTCAGAGTGAGTGCTGTTGGGGAGAGCAGGAGGTAGGGGGCTTTGGGGCAGAGTCATGGTGACCTCGATGTCTTCCCACCAGAGTGAAGAGACTTGGAGGAGGAGGAGGTGGAGGCTCAGAAAGGGCAGCCTGCAGAGCCAGGGCTCACCTAGGCCCGAGGGAGTCACAGAAGCAGAGCAAAGGACATGGAGAAGGGATGGTATGTGGCGGGAATGAGCCGGCCACCATGCAGGCTGTCAGCAAGGGAAAGTCTCCATGGTATGGTCTTTATAGGGGTTCCATGAGCAACGTGGTGTGGGCCTCAGAGCAGTGGAGGGACATTCTGCTTTGTGCTTGTCCGGGTCTGCCTGGGCTGGAAACAAAGGAATGAAAAGCCCGAGGAAAGGCATGAGACTCTGCACACGGGCTTTGCACGCAGACTGTGCACACGGGCTCTGCACGCGGGCTCTGCACACAGACTGTGCACACGGGCTCTGCACGCGGGCTCTGCACGCAGACTCTGCATGCAGACTGTGCACACGGGCTCTGCACGCGGGCTCTGCACGCAGACTCTGCACGCAGACTGTGCACACGGGCTCTGCACATGGGCTCTGCACGCAGACTGTGCACACGGGCTCTGCAAGTGGGCTCTGCACACAGACTGTGCACACGGGCTCTGCACGCGGGCTCTGCACGCAGACTCTGATGCAGACTGTGCACACGGGCTCTGCACGCGGGCTCTGCACGCAGACTGTGCACACGGGCTCTGCAAGTGGGCTCTGCACGCAGACTGTGCACACGGGCTCTGCACATGGGCTCTGTGGTACTTTTGGCTGCAACACTTTCCCCTGTCTTTAGCTTTCCTGCCAAGACCAGGAAGTCTATAAAGACCCAAGGCCGGTGGGGCTCGCACAGGCGGAGACGCGGGAGGGAGAGGGCCAGTCTCCAGACAGCTAGGACTGGCACTTAAAGCACGTTCCTTTCGACCACCGGCTGGGCTCTGGCTTCATTTCAGGACACAATGGTGCCTCTTGGTCCTCATGTACCCTGCTCCCGGGCTCTGGCCCCCTTCCACGGCATCTTGAATTCAAGGAGGGGTGGTCACATGACTACGGTCCTGGGGACGCGGGCTCTGGAGACAGAATGGGTACTAGCTTCCCCAGAGATTGTTGCAGAGCTTTCAAAATCCATCCTTAGTGGGCGAGTGACACCGTTGTCCTTGACATTGTGGACAAAGGAAAGTGGAGATACTTCATCCTAGAACTGGCTGGTCGCTGACCCCAGCCCCGCCTGGGTAAGGGCTTCTTGAGCATCTCCTTGCCTAGCGGGACAATGGCATCTCAGTCACCACCCTGCTCCCAAGGGAGCAGGGCCAGAAGGAAGCCAGAAGACAAGCTGCCATGGAGAGAAGTTAATGGGGACAACCTGTCTGTCAAGGACAGCAGGGCTCTTCTCCGTCACCCCACCACACGCCCTCCTTTCCTTTCACGAAACTTTCTGTCTGACGATGTCAGAGAATGAGTTTGGTCTTTTGGCTTCCAAGCAGGAGAAACTGGCCCTGTAATCCATCTCAGTGGGGGTGAGCAGGTGCCTGTCCTGGCTCCAGGGCTCTGCCTTCAGGCCCCTCTTTTCTTTCTGGGCTCTGGCAGTTAGTGGATCTCTGGGCTCCATCCTGGGAGGATGGAGGATGTGGGGTGAGCGTGTTACTGAGGCCATCCCATATGAGGGTGGGGAGGAGCATCTCTCCATTCCGCTGTCCTCTTCTGTGGGCTCCTAGGAGAAAATCCTGAATCCTCTTGAGTGGAAGGAGAATGGAAGTACAGGCAAGCGTCCAGAAGACTTGCTTTTTGGCAAGGCCATTCTGGCTGATGCGGTGACCCATCACTTTTTTTTTTTTTTTTTAAGGTCATGCTGTTCTCCTCTGGGCTAATGGGAGGGAGGTGGCGTGTGACTTCACTGGCAAGGCAATCGGAGCCAGAGGCTGGGCGCGTCAATACGGGATTGTGCAGCCATCCAGGGCGCAGCTCTAGAAAGCTGCTGTGCCAAGCGCCAGAGCGGAAGCGGTGCCCCTGCCCCAGAGAATGCCCTGGAGGGGCAAACGAGTGAGACACCAGGCAGGACAGTCTCTAGTCCCATCATCTCAGCCCCACCATACCAGCAAAGGGGGTGAGTCAGGAACACCTGGCCTGTCCCAAGCCCAGATGGCAGGTAGGCTCCGAGAACGTGGGAAGGGCTGTGGTTCAGGCAGGGGAGAAGCTGGCCGAGGAAATCCTTGTCCTTGCTGTGCCTTGGTTCTGAGTTCAGTTTCTGCGGAAGAGTCGTTGACATTGGTCTGTAGTAACTAGGGAGGTGCGGTGCTTTGTAGGGTGTCCATCCCGACACAGCCTGAACCAGCTACAGCCACGCGGTAGAGAGAGCCTCTCAGAGGGAGCTGCCCCTGTCAGGTGCTGACTCTGCCTCTTCCCTGGCTCCCTAACCTGTCGGCGAAGGATGGCACCGGCATCCAGATTTCCTGTGAGATCTCACATACGGTGAGATCATCACCACTCTGAGGACTCGTCTGGCCTAGGGCAGCTGCAATTCCAGTGAGGTCCAAGGACTGAAAGGAAGCAGGACCATTGCACCCTAGCAGAGTCAAAAGACCCAATTCCCTTCTGCCTTTATCACCACGAAAGGTGTGACCCTAAGCAAGGAATGGCCTGGTCTGTGTAGACCACATGAAAGGATGGGTCCTCCCTGACCTCCTCCAGGATGCTGGGATGGGGAGTCAGTGGAGAGGAAATTAGGGTCCTCAGCCTTCTGCCTCAGGCAAGCGCATGGGTTTCCTGTTATATCCTCGTCTCCAGTAGAGCTTAGACATCCCTATTTTCAATACAGAAGCCCTAACCATCTATTTCTGCGTTCACGCTGCAGGAGCCCCTCCCCCACCAGCCCTGTGTGTCCAACGGCAGGTGAGTGAGAAGTGGCGGAGGGGAAATGAGCCTTCACCGTGTTCTGGCTAACCTAATTTCCTCAGCACCCTCCTCTCCAGGGACGCGCCTTTATCACGCCGCTTATTAGACTGTCTGCCAGGCTGTTAATGAGACTCTCCTTGAGCCCACCACAGACAGTTGCCATGGGAACGCTGGTCCCACAGCTCCCCTCTCTCCCCCTTCCATGTATAGATACTCGGGCAGCAGTGGTCTCGGCCAGCTTGCTTCTGGGATCCATTCCTAGTTATCACTGGTCATCCAGAAGTGCAGACTCCTTTTGGGCAGCTGTGACTGGAGTGGAGGAGGCCTGGCTTGAGAGCTCTGTGGGGCCCTCTTGGAGGCCACCTTCACCTCCCACCTCCTTCAGCCATCTGTTAACTGGAGAGAGTCCAAGTCTGTCTTGGCATCACTCGGACTCCATGAATTCCTTGAGGCAGAGAGCAGGGGGCAGAGGTGCGGTGCCTGTCTGTACCTTAGTGCTAGGATGCTGAGAAATCCGTCAAAACTGTGGCAAAGGGGTGTGTGTTTACAAACAGGGCCGAGGAGCAAGCAGCCAATCAACAGCCAGCAGTGAGCACAGTGCCAGAGAGGGTGACTAGAGAACCAGACATCGGCTCAGTGTGTCAGGTTCAGACAGGGCTCTGCCACCAGGAGCAGAAGAAATGAGTTCCGTATTTGGATAGTTATGAGGGAATGCTGGGACAAGAAGAACCCGTGCCCAGCTCTCCCATGGTAACACGCTATAGCTTCACACAAGTGGCTGTGTCTGCTACAAAGATAATGTCCTTGCCAATCCTCTCCCGGGCTATCCACCATCATCTTTATTACTCCAGCCAAGACCGGGTATCAGCTCTGGGTATGTCAAGTTAGACAGACTAGTAAGGACACCCCACCACACTTGATCCTAGAAACTGCTTTTAAGAAGGGTAAGTCAAGGCTAAGGCTATGATGGTGAATATGAGGAGAGAGGAGAACCCCAGGCGGCTCTCAGAATTCCAAACTATGTTACCCTTGATTCCACTCAGCAGGTTCCAGGCCACACAGACGCCAGCTTATCCAAAGCCCTCAGAAGAGGCCTGCATCTTAGTTTCCAATTTCCCAGGGGGAGCCTACATTAAGTCTTTGGAGAAAAACCCAGCTCTGAAGCCTGGAATCCACCCTCACTCCCTCGACCTCTCACCTCCCTGACCTCTCTCCCCAACATCCATCCCTCCACCATCAGGAACAAAATGGACAGAGCCGGAACGGAACTCACGGTCCATCGGAATCTCAATGGCCCCTCCGAGGCTGAGGAGGAAGAGGATGAGGGCTAAGTGAACCCAGGGTGGTGCCTGCTGCCTGTCCATCCTCAGCACCGGGCCTTGCTCCCAGCTGCCCAGCCCACGGGCTCTCGATGCCTTGTGCCGCTCTGCGTGGGCTTTCCAGACAGTGCTCAGCTGGAGAGAGAAAACAGCAATGAGTGAGTTCCTCTTGAACTTGTGTTTTGCTCCACGCACCCCCGAGTCTCAAAAGACTCAAGGAGCCTCTTGGCCACAGATTGGGAATCTCCTAGACCAGGGTTTCTAGCCTTGGAACAAAACAATCCACGCCTTAGGGACTGTCCTATATATTGTAGGGTGTTGGAAGTGCCTTTGGTCTCTACCTACCCAATGTCAACAGAGCCAGCCAGCCCTGCTGCCAATAAAAAACATCTCTGGACATTGCCGCTTTCCCCAGATGTCCCAGATGCTGCAGGTGGCATCTCCAGAGGACAAATCCACTGATAATTAAGACCCAGTATGAAACAGAGGCAATGCTGCATCGAGGAGCCATTAAAACACACACTGGTCCTGGATAGATGTACCAGTTCAAAGCCTCCCTGGACCACCTGCGGAGTGTGCCTGGGGCAGGATGTGTTTGGGTAAGGACACAGGACTAAGACCTCACGAAGGCCTATGGAGAGGCGGGAGGACTGTCCAAGGAGAAGGGATGAGCTGTAACTCAAGTTCAGCACTCTAAGACTGCCTGAAGCTCCTAACTGCTCCAGCCTGCCAGCATCACGGGGCCAAGTCCATGGGGAAGGCTGCATGTGGAGTCTCCAGAATCCCCCAGCTTTCCTCAGAGAGCATCTGTATCAGCGGAACACACAGCGCTACTCCTGCTTTATTTGGCTGGAACTTGAAGCCACAGTCAACTACACACACACACACACACACACACACACACACACACACACACACACGTAGAGGACAAGGCCCAGGGAAGAGCTCCTCAGAGATGAAGCCATCATTCTGGGGTCCTGTAGTAGGAAGCATCACCAGTCACTACCACCACATGCCAGAATGAAGGATTCTGGCTTACATTTCAGCAACTGAGCCTAACAGTAGTCCCTGCCTCCCTTCCCCCCCTGCTCCGTGTGTGTGTGTGTGTGTGTGTGTGTGTGTGTGTGTGTGCATCTGGCCTCCATCTACCTGCCTCCCTTCCCATGGCCACCTCCTTGGTTTGGACCACCAGTGTTCCAGGCTAGAGTGATTGCCATGGCTCCCTAAGAAGTCCTGCTGCTCAGTCTCTGCCCTGCCCCCATTCATTCTCTGTCCATGACCAGAACTGTTGTTCTGGTCATGGACACAGATACAAACATGCCACTCCTCGTCACCTCTTACTATTGTCCCCAAGTTCACGCTAACTTCCTTTACTGGCTTGGCGCCCCAAACCATGTGCCTGCCTGATCTCTCTCATGTTCATCTGGCATGCTGCTCCTCAAGGGCCTCGGTGTACGCTGCCTTGACCACTGGCCTAGGACAGGTTAACCTTGGGGCAGGACAGTCTGTGACCTTGGCCTCCTTCATCAGGATTTGCTAAGTGTTATTTAGGGGGTCCCGAATACCTGCTTTCTACTCCCACGATGGCATCCTGGGCTTTGCGTTCACTCCAAAAAGTCACTTGAAGGCTCCATAAATGGGAAGGTTTGTTTATTATCCAGTCTTAGGAATTTGCCACAGTACCGAATAGCCCCTCAAAATGTGTGACAGACGGACATAAGGACGGGTAAGAAACGTGAACTAGCAAATGAGTTAATGAAAGAAGTTGCTTAGACGGTATTATTTTAAAAAGTATTCTATGATTTGAGAATTCCATAAAGTGTATTTTGAACATATTCATCCCCTCCCTCACCTCCTCCCATGTCTCATCTCCGTTCACCACCCACACAAGGTTGAGTTTCTTCTTCTTTTTTTATTAACCCCACCTAGTCCTGTTTGTGCTGTCCCACTACTCCTGGGAGTGTGGCAGCCCTGACCCCACTAAGGGTCACCTCATTAAAGAACACTGACGTTACTGGGTGGTGGTGGCACACGCCTTTAATCCCAGCACTCAGGAGGCAGAGCCAGGCAGATCTCTGTGAGTTCGAGGCCAGCCTGGTCTACAGAGCGAGTTCCAGGAAAGGTGCAAAGCTACACAGAGAAACCCTGTCTCGAAAAACAAAACAAAACAAAACAAAAAAAAACAAACAAAAAAAAAAAACCCACAAAAAAGAACACTGACGTCTCTCCCAGCAGCTCTTAAATGCTATTAAATTCCTCGGCCAGCAGTGGTTTTGTGCTCACTTTCTCCAGCCCCGTGTTGGGATTTTATCTGGCTGGAGCTCGCACGGGTCTTGTGCATGCTCTCACGGTCATGATGTTTGTGAGTGTGCTTTATCACAGTCACACTCACGCTTTCTGCTCTGCTGTGTCCGGAGCACAGCGTGTGTTTTCATGACATTCAAGAGCCACCACTCCTGGCTCTTACAATCTCTCTGCTCCCTCTTCTGTGAGGATCCCTGAGTTTTAGGTGTGTGTGTGTGTGTATCTGTTCCTCTAGAGAACTACTAGGTGACACAAGAAAGCACAAGCTGGACAGTGACTAAGGTGTCCCTCCAGGTCAGATGCCAGGAAGCCAATGAGCTGGAAGAAGACAGGAGAGCTGGAAGAAGACAGTCCGTCTTCCAAGGACCGACCCTGTGGCTAGGAGGCATCCCAAGAGTTAACTCTTCAGGATGGTCCTTACACTGTCCTTCAGGAAGGCCACTGATGCTTCACTCTGACTCACACATCTCCAGAGATCAGCCTGACTTTCTGGCTGGAGCCCCAGTGCAGAGGGAAGGCATGGCCTTCCTTTAGGGAAGGGGTAGGAGGGCTTAGTTTGGCTCCCTGACCACCATGTTTGGCTCAGGACCTGCCAAGCGGCAGAGAGATGGGAAAAGGGCGATATTCATTCTGGGGATCTTGATGGAACTAGGGAGCCAGAAATTATTCATTAATCAGAAACACATTGGCAGGAAAAAGCCCAGCTGTTAGGGATGTTTGAAATTCACAGTCTAACAGCATCGTAGATAAAGGACATCAAGATAACCACATTCTGCCGCCCGGTAAGTCCCTTCTTTATTCTCGGGAACCCATTTTCCCCCAACCAAATGTTAAGAGAATAAAAGGTCAAAGGTTATTTAATTTTATACAAGCTATTTAATTTTAAACAATCCCCCCACTTTTCAGATGAAGAATCCATAGCCAGAGGAGGGCAAGAGACTGGCTTAGGCTCACCCAGCTGGAAAGCTAGGAAAAGAATCCAGGTGTCCTGAGGTCTAGACCAGGACTTTTCTACCCAGTTCCCTCGTCTTTGTTACACAGCAAAGTCCCAAAGTGAAGATGCTATTTCAAAAGGCAGCATATAGTTTGTCCGTTTTTCCGAAACTTAAACAGAAAACTTCCCACTGGGTATATGCTCCAAGGATTCAAAGCAGGTTCTCAAGCACGTTCATGTGCACAGCATCACTCACAATGGCCAAACAGTGGAAATTGCTCAAACATCCATCCGAGGTGGATGGAGAAGCGGATGGGTGGACTTGGGTTTCTACACACCATGGACTATTATCCAGCAACAGAAAAAAATGAAATGCTGACACACCGCTTCGCTGTGAAACAATTCCCAAAACACATTAATGAAAGAGCCCACACTGTCCCATACAAATGGTCCAGAAGACAGGCACATAGTAGGCACCCTTCCCACACGCTGGGAGGGGATTTCTATTTGAGTCAAGGGAACGGGTGGCTTAGAGCTCTGGCATTGAGCACAGAAGACCCACTGCACAGTGAGGGCAGAGAGACCTGCTAGGGTCCTCACATCAGCAAGATCCACGTTTCCCCCTACTGTGGGATGTTCTGTATGTCCTGTGGGAGCCCATTCTTGGGTTCCTTGTGGCTTTACCCAGCAGGTCCGCATAGAGGATGATTAGGACCACGGGCCTGAGTGCAGGTGTCTGAGATGGTCTGCACTTGGCTGTGCTGGGGGATGGTCTGTATGGCAAGTTGCTCTGATTGGTCAATAAATAAAACCTGATTGGCCGTGGCTAGGCAGGAAGTTTAGGCAGGACTAACAGAGAGGAGAAATAAAAGAACAGGAAGGCAGGAGTCACTGCTGGAGCCGCCCGCCAGGACAAGGAAGATGTAAAGTACCGGTAAGCCACGTGGCAAAGTATAGATTTGTGGAAATGGATTAATTTAAGATATAAGAATAGTTAGCAAGAAGCCTGCCACAGCCATACAGTTTGTAAACAAATTAAGTTTCTGTGTTTACTTGGTTGCGTCTCAGTGGCTGTGGGACTGGCAGGTGAGAGAGATTTGTCCTGACTGTGGGCAAGGCAGGAAAACTCTAACTACATCCACCCGGTCTGATAACCAGGGAAAAAGGGGCAGGGCTCCTGGCCCACAGCAATGACATCCACATCTCTAAAGACTGCCTGAATTAATGTCAACCACAGTGGAGTAGCCGTCACTCCATGGCCAAGGCATGCCATCTCCTAGGTCCCTTTCCAGGCTTTCTCAGTAACATAAGGGGTGTATTCATTTCTTTCCTGTTGCTGGGATAAGCACTCTGACAAGAAGAAGTGTTTATTCCCTAGGGAAGAAAGGGTTTATTTTATCTCAAAATTCCAGATTATAGTTTCTCTCTAGGGGAAGTCAAGGCAGCAGGAACTGGAAGGAACTAGTCACATCCACAGTCAAGAGCAATTCAAGGTCCTCCACCCAGGGGAGGTGCCACAGTGGGCGAGTCTTCCCACCTACATTAAAGTTATCTAGGTAATCCCTGGCAGACATGCGCCGCCACATGCCAACCTAATCTAGACAATCCATCATTTCAACTCTCCCCTGGCTATTTTAGACTGTATCCAGTTACAACAGAAATTAACCATCACAAGGGGTTAATGCATAAGGGAGATGGTTGGTGTGTGGGCTCTGATAAGAGCCACTTGGTGGGATGAGGAAGGCCTCATTCCTCATTCTCTACAGGGAAAGTAGAGGATCTAGGGCAGGTGAAGCCTGGAGGCTGGCCACTGGCCACCGGCATCTTTGAATATTGAAATATGGGACAAAATGCTTTTGTTTAGCATCACAAGGGTACAACCAGGACCAGGGAGGAG